TTAACCCTCTCTTCAGGTACTTGTGCTTATATGTTTGTAATAACGTTCACGGACGAAAACTAATGAAATACATGAGATTCAGTCTGTAGTACCAAGTGCGTTCATGGGAGCGGCGACCATCTGCGCAGTTATATCTTTGTTTATACTAAGGAAAAACTCTTGTGTTCCTTGTGTGCATGAAGCGTGTAACAAACCTCTGGGGTAAGTATGCCTATATGTGTTATAAGAGATATGAGGTGAAAATTCACATGGTTCTGATATGTATGTTATGTATACCTGCTTCTGGTATATATATATATATATAGATTCATTAAATATGAAGAATGGTGTTGAACAAGGCTATCTACTCTTCTTGTTTCGCTTTCTTCTAGATGTTGAATAGATTGAATATTCTTACAACCAAACTTATTAACTTTGTATATACAAATATATATTTATATAATAAACCCATTTTTCTAGAAGATAGTTCTACTGTTTTATTCTTGCTAGTTAAAATACATTTTTATCATTTTATTTTCTTTTCTCGTGTTATAATAAATTCGTCAAGTTATTTTACATTACGTCTGATCTCTTCATGTTCACCTCTTTTTGTGTATTATTTTATACTACTTAATAATATTCAGTACCTAATTTCATTGCCAAAAACTTTTCAGCTTGTATTGCGGCGCGTAGTTAATAACGGGTAATATTCTAAAACGACCTAACTACCGTCACTTTACTTATTATTGTAATTACATTTTTTCAATACTTGTAACAGTTATTACGATAACTACACTGATGTTAATTGTAACATACGATAGCGTAAATGACACCTAGTACCTGTGTCGTAGATTCAGAGACCTAGAACAATTGAGCGGAAACTAAAAACACGAGTATATGTGAGCTTTAATTTCTTAGGAAACATTTGAGAAATGTGTCAAAACCTCATGTACCTGTTACAAGTACTTAAAAAATGTGACGGTAGTTAGTTTGTTTTAGAATATTACCCGTTAATAAGTACTCGCTGGCACACAAGCTCAAAAGTTTTTGGCAATGAAAGTACGTACTGAATATTATTAAGTAGTATAAAATAATACACAGAAAGATGTGAACACGAAGAGACCAGAGGCGTAATGTAAACGAACCTAACGATTTTATTATAATGCGAGAAAGGAAAATAAAATGATAAAAATGTATTTAAACTAACAAGAATAAAACAGTAGAACTATCTTCTAGCAGGATAGGTTTATTATAATGGTATATATCTTTATATACACAGATAATAATTATAGTTGTAAGGATATTTTACATGTTTGTTGTTGTTGTTTCCTTTTGAATCGTGAAATGTAAATCAATCGCAACCTTTTAAGGCAGGTAAATTGCTTAAAATTTCCAGTCATGATTTATCAAGCTGGATGATACAACAGTTAGCCGACCGAAATATCCTCATTATAGGTTGGACGAAAGCAAGCGGCGGCCGGACCAAAACATGTCAGAAATCCATGAAATCACTAACAAGTGGATTGAATCATGTTGGTAAATGTAGGCTACTTGGTTGGGCTCCGTGAGACGAAAGTCACCAATGGTTAGAGACCTTGAACGACACAGATCAAAATCGTTTGCAATGGTGCAGTTGCATCCACAATTTGTGTTCTGTCAAATTCTAATCTTTTGAATTCCTCATTTCTCGTTGTCGCTTTCTTAATTTATCTCACCGGATTGTTTCCTGAAACATATCTTCGCTCCCTAATCTTCTCCATTACTGCTAATATTTCTACTATGGCTACCAGTCTTGGATTTGAACTGATAGTTGCGTCTCTGTGATTATGCGGTATGGCAACCTGAACTACGTTGTAACTGACTAAATGAAACATAGGAGATCTCAGTAAGTATGAGAACTATAGAGACATCACTGTTCTTTCAATACTAATTTCATTTCCGAATATTTTTGAGCTTGTGTGGCAGCGAGTACTTATTAACGGGTAATATTCTAATACAACCTAAATACCGTCACTTTACTTATTACTCTAATCACATTTTTATAATTACGCCTAGAACTTCACCTTGAACACAGTCATGACATGGCTAATTTCACTCAGCCTACTTGTGGTGACCTAACTCAAAGACAGCTAAAAGTTATGACTTTTCTCATAACATAAATATTTTTTATACATCACAAGTGTATCACATCACTCCATTCATTTACCACCAGCTTTGAAAGACAATAAGAAAATTACTGAGGTTAATAAATCTTAGTTTTTTCTATCTCACAAACTGTATCGAGGTTATGGGTTCGGTTCCATGTTGACTACGAAAGTATGTTAATTTTTAAAGTCATACTAATGAATAAACAGGGGATAGTTAAAAGTTACTAAAATATATTAAGGACGATATTCACTTAGAAATTATATGTTTTTTCCAAAAAATTTCATACTACTGAAATAAAATAACTAGTATTTTCTCAAAAATACATGTGAAACCATGTGGTTATAGTTTGGGAGGAATCAGGGTGAAATGATCATTTAGCATTATCCAAAAATGAAAGGAGTTTAGGTTTTGTGCTTGTGAGAAATATAGATGTGTTTGATGAATATTTAGGATGATTTATATAAAATTTTTCAAAATCCCAAACAGCTAACACGTAAACAGAACACTTAACGTGAAAATTTAAGTAGGATACATAATGTCAAAGGGGTTTAACTTCTCCACATTTTCAGAAATTTATCAGATCCAACAGGTAGAGGCTGACAATATGCAAAGGTATATCAATGAAAGAAATAACATAGGAAAGTAATATAGAGGATTTTGAACATAACTAAATACACTGCAGCTGATTTTAGTTCATGACAAAAGTTATCAAGTAACCAATTTATCAAGTAGCAACACTCATGTAATTTAAGTGGTAGTTACAATGTTATTTTATCGACGGAAGCCATTTTATACATTCTGATACAACTGGGGACCAATCGTGTAAGCGTCATACAATTAAAGAGATAGTATTGGGCAGAAATAACGGAGAGAAGTGCAATCAGAACAGTAAACAAGAACACCGAATACAGTCACCGAAAATACCCTATTAGGAGGTCGAGTTTCAATGACGAAAAGCGCAACAGCTCAGTCAACACATCATAAACCTGATATTTTACGACCAAACTAAAATCATAATGGCATAAAAGATGACCCGGTATAGAATGAGCCTCTCTCAGTAAACACGAAACGAACAATCAAATAGATACCCGGGTATACATACCTTTTGACGACTTCTAACGGACCAAAAAAATAGACCGGACGTAGAGGATTTAATAGGAATTTTGGGCAAAATTACATGTTTAATTACTAGTTAGACAAGCCTTCATAATTTGACTTTGCAGGAGCTGATCTTTTGTTCGGAGATCAACATGGTAACCTAGAATATGCGGATGACAGTTGTTTAGTGAAGATACAAGAAAAATGCGGTCTTCTTACCACCTTCAGAAAAAATCCTAACATGTTTACGATGCGAATATCCCTCCCATTACAGTGTCATCTCAGGATTGGTTTGCGTCGGCCCCAGAACTAGTGAGTGTCGATCAATTCACATATTTTCAGTCTCATAAATCCCTATAATCTAGTGTTTTACGAAATCACGATTCGGATATAGGTTTAACCGGCTTTTGCCAACTTACGTCACTTATAGCGTAGGAGAGATACTTGTAAGCTAACCGAAGAAAAGTCTACTGCACACACAGCGGTTCGCTCCGTCCGACTATACAAGTGTGAAACTTGGTCACTAAGAATAAGGGGTATTTGTAAGTTGCTAGTATTCCATCACAGATGTCTTCGAAAATTGTGGGATCGCCGAGTAAGCAATTCTGTCAGGAAAACGCTTCTAGGTAAAAATGACGGACCAATTGATGAAGTAGTGGATCTTCATCAATTGAAGTGGTTAGGATGTGTTAAGCATACCCGACCACCGACTGGCTATGTTGTCTGATGTAGGAGTAGGCTGGTAGAAAGCTAGGGGTAGCCAAATAAAAACATGCCGACAGTACACAAAGTGATTGACAGTTCGACTGTGCCATGTTGGTCGATGTAGACTACCTGATCAGGGTCTACGTGACAGTCGTAACCAGTGGTTAGAGACTTGGATTGATATGGCTCAAAATCGTTTGTAGTGCACCCGTTCTTTGTCGTCCATCGAATTATAAGCTTCAGAATCCCTCATGACCCTTATTTTTTTCTTTATGAATTCTAATCACTAGTTTATATTTTCTCGTATTAGTCTTCAATCCCTTATCTTTCCAATTACCTTTAATAATGTTACGACATCTACCACTAAGGAATTTGAATTGGTAATTTCAATTTGTTTGTGGTAATGGAGTACGAAAACTTGGTTTGATGTACATATGTACCAGGTTCCACGTTGCAACAGGCTTTACTTATGAACACCAACTGATTGAGTTCAACTTGTATAATTTGTGCTATGTTACACAGTAAGTCATTATCCATATAAGTTTGTAGTGCCTTGACATACATTTGAGTTCGCTTATGTTTAATTTGGTTAAGTCTTTCGATTAACTTACTTAACCAAGCCACTTGCATAGTAACAGCTTATATGTACCACTGGTTCTTACTATTGTCCGATTTGTGTGAGCTGGTATATCTGAACATTGCTTACCGCATACACGAATATTCACCTAAGTATTTCGATGACTCAGCCATTTTCTTATGTATATATATATATATATATATATATCTTATTAAATCATTCTGCGATTCGCTAGTGTGCTTGTCCTGCTCTGTATGCTTGTGGTCTGCTGGTCCATTTGTGGTGTGCCAAAATAAAAGTATTCAACACTTCGTGTTCACTTTCTGATTATAAACCGTCGGGCGCTACTTAATAACGACTGTCTGGACGAACAAATACGATGTCTAGGAACAAGTTGGATACCGACCGCCACAAGATTAGTGATACATTGCTCACCACAACTTAAAGTTGAAAAGTCATTTTCCCAGGAAATTGCAAACATAAGGCAAACATAGAATTGTAATTATTAAAAAATCTTGAATATATAATGTTAATTCTTTGAATAAAATACAAGGAATATAAAAACAATAGATACACTGGATTGATACATTACATGTTAAAAACTATATAATACTGTACAACAGTTATATACATATATTTATATCCGGTGAATCACATACACATCCCTTTTCAAGGAAATTTCTAGGGCGGAAATTATTTGCTGTTATATTTTTTTCTTTTCTTTAAAGGTGAACAAATTGATGAAACATTATGACTGGATATATTCATGTTGGTCAAAGCCGTATACAGTCGGCGTATTGAATTGTTCCGTTCATGTATTGAAAGGCATAGATCGTCGACTAAGTCACATTAATTGTAAGGAGAAAAAGAGAACAATAACAAAATTGTTGTAGAATGTTCAATGAAAAAAAGACACCTTTGAACAATTAACAGTGATAAGAGAGTTAAGAGGGTATCTATAGTGTAGGTGGAATTTTGCGTAGTTTTCACGTAAACAATTCAATTTTCATCTTTAGTTAACCGATTTTTTACACTTTAGTTGGTCATGTATTTTTTTAAAATTCATTGAAAACTCTTAGATTATTGTTTCATCTTTTTCACTATAACGATATGAAATATTTTGAGCAATACCGGACTATTACTAAACACAACAACTCGTCAACAATACATAGGAGTACAAAAATGAACTAATACAAATTCACAGTCAGCAGTATAGTTGTTAAGTCCGTTTGTGTTTTTTTAGCTTCACTGACTTATCCGATTGATTTACTGTGTATTGCAAATACTACTTACTGATATTCAATTTAGAAGAGAGTAAAAACAATGATAATAGAACTGAAACTCAAGAAAAACCGGACAACGGGGCAGTCAACATCACACAAGTTTAATACGGCCTTTCTTCGGGATACCGTAAAACTCAACGAATTCAAGATAGCCCTCACCAATAGGTTCCAGGCCTTGCACAATATACTCAATGGAGAGGAAGCAACATTGGAGAGCAATCGGAAAGGGACCAAACAGGCAATCACTTCAACATGTCACGAAGTTCTGGGTCACAAGAAGTACCATCACAAGGATTGGTTGTCTGTTGATACTCTTGCAAAAATTGAAGAAAGGAGGAACAAGAAGGCAGCAATCAATGTCAGCCGAACAAGAGCAGAGAAAACTAAGGCACGGGATGAATAAACAGAAGCGAACAGGAAAGTGAAGAAGACCATCATCATACGGAATTCTTAAGATGGATTCAACTGCAAAATCGTACACGAAGGACAACTAACAGACTCGTTCGAGGTGAAGACCGGTGTCAGGCAAGGTTGCTTACGCTCATTCTTTCTCCTGGTCATCGACTGGATTATGAAGACGTCAACATCTGGAGGGAAGCACGGTATTCAGTGGACAGCAAGGACGCAGCTGGACTTCGCAGATGACCTGGCTCTTCTATTGCACACGCAACAACAAATGAAAGAGAAGACGACCAGTGTAGCAGCAGCCTCTGAAGCCGTAGGTCTCAACATGCATAAAGGAAAAAGCAAAATTCTCCGATGAAACATAATAAGCACCAACCAAATCACTCTTGATGGAGATGCCTTGGAGGAAGTTAACACCTTTACATATCTGGGCAGCATCGTCGACGAGAAAGGTGGATCGGATGCAGATATGAGGGCGCGGATTGGCAAAGCGAGGGCTGCATTTCTACAGTTGAAAAATATCTGGAACTCCAAACAACTTTCAACCAAAACCAAAATCAGGATTTCAATACAAATGTCAAGACAGTTCTACTGTATGGAGCGGAAACTTGGAGAACTACGAAAGCCATCATCCAGAAGATACAAGTGTTTATGAACAGTTGTCTACGCAAAATACTTCGTATTCGTTGGCCAGATACCATCAGCAACAACCTTTTGTGGGAGAGAACAAACCAGATTCCAGTGGAGGAGGAAATCATGAAGAAGCGGTGGAAGTGGATAGGACACACTACGAAAAGCACCTAACTGCGTCACAAGACAAGCCCTCACTTGGAACCCTCAAGGCAAAAGGAAAAGAGGAAGGCCAAGGAACACATTACGCCGAGAATCGGAGACAAATTTGAGAGGAATGAACAAAAATTGGACAGAACTAGAAAGGGAAGCTAAGGACAGGGTTGGTTGGAGAAAACTGATCGGCGGCCTATACTCCAGTGGGGGTAACAGGCTTAAGTAAGTAAGAAGTAAAAACAATGATTGGTGCAGAATGATATACATTCAGTTTATTTTGTTCGTTCAGTCAGTCAGTTAGTTACAACGTAAAACTTCGTACGTAGATAAGTTCATGTTGCCATACCGCATTAACACAGAGACTCAATTGACCGTTCAAATCCTATGGTGGTAGAGATAGAAGTATTAGCGGTAATGGAGAAGATTAGGGTTCCTATTAGGTTGTTCACAAATATCTGTATGAAATTTGAACTCTGATAACGTTTGAGCATGTAGAGCAACATCTTTTTTGTCACATAGCATTCCTAAATTTGCAATATTCGATTTACTTATTATTGTAACTGACATTAGTAACAGTTACCTCCAATTTTAATGATTTCATTGAATACATGTTTAAGTTTAGTAGTTTTCATATTCTCCATTTTGATTGTTGACAATTACTGTAGACTTCGGAAACAAATGTTAACTCTTATTTGCACAATCGTATGTTGTAAATAATCTTTATGTAATTACTTTGGGAAAAACATTTTCTTTCTATATAAACTGACATGCTAAAAGCCACAAACATCTTAAGAGAATAGACGTTTGAAACTATTTTGCATAAACATGTATAACAATAGTATCACTTTATAGAGAAAATCAATATTTGACTCTGACATTTCTCGCTTAACTCTTTCGTATGATCAGAAGCTCTACATTATCAATAATTAATCCATTAATATAAATTTTTTTCAGTACATTCATAACATAAGTGCAGTTAGAAAATATGCCACCCTTTTAGTAAATTCACCTGATTTAACACCATAAGCATTTTCCAACGTTTGGTTGATATGATTCTTCATATTCTTTATGTTATCTACAATTGAATTAATTTTAGCTGTTTCTTGTTCAATTTTTGTTAGGCATGTTTTCAGCTGAAATCATGATAACAAATTCGGTAGAATAGATATGATACAAAGACAAATTGTATATTGTATATAAGGACAAAGATAATAAATATAGTCATTTGTTTCCTATGGAAGCAAAAAAATCAGAACACAGCTTACAAAGCACTACTGAAATCTTATACATCCTTACACGTTATATGTATCTGATTAAACTGTATCAATTACGAGAGATGACAAGAAACGACTGATTCTTTAAAACACACTTTTTTCATGTCGTTTTGTTGAAAAGAGACTCAATCAAATCTATAAAACATAATGAGTTGCGGAAAATAGACTACTAGAATAATAAACGTATAAAAAGCCTTAACTGCTACAGGTTACCAATAAGATGTTTGGAATATGGGTTCTTAAGTTTTCGGGATTAAGATACATTTTAAACAATAAGAACAGCAATATTGTCAATAGGGAGAGGTGATTCGAAATTGTGTTGTTGACACTGATCGTTACAAGTCAGTCAGATGCAACGTAGAACTTTGTACATAAGTACATCAGTTCATGTTGCCATACCACATCAGCACAGAGAAGTAATCGTCAATTCAAATCCAATAGTAGAAGAGGTAGTAAGGGAATTAGAAATAATCGGAGAGGTTAGGATTAGAAGATACTACTCAAGAAGTATGATTCAGTGAGAAAAGTTTAGAGATTGATCGTTACAAACCGAACACTATACCTGCTTCAGTTCAGGTAGCCAAACAGTATTACAGCCTACATACAAATTTAATGATTTATGTGGCGCATAAATATTTAGGTACCCTTTTGTACTAAAAATCATGCTCCAATATATAAATAACTGAACACCGAATGAATAACTCACTTGACATGTATCGGTTGAGGTAGTTGGGAGAAGTATGACATGCTAAGCACCGCTTAGAACGACATGCGAGGTGTGTTGATGTAAGAGTAAGTCAAGAAAAAGTTAGGGAAGGCCAAACGAAGACAGTACTCCAATTCATGAAGTCACTGAATGTTCAATTGAGTCATCTAGGTAAGTGCAGACTACCTAGTTAGGGTCAGAACGAGTATCGTAACCAATGGTTGCAGACATATGACATGGTTGGGATCGATTGAAATTTAGATCCATTCATATTATTTTCCCTTAGATTCAGAGTTTTATAATCATTCTATGATGCGAATTTACTCTCTTCTTTCGAGTTAATCGTGCTAAATCTTCCTTATTACCACTGATATTATTGTTTCTTATACTCTTAGATTTGTCGATGTGTTAATACAGTATGGCTACAGTAGTATGATGAAACACTACAAAATTTGGTAACGAAGTGAAATCGTTAACCTTCACAGTTCAGTAAATTGATTACTGGTTCTTAAAACTTATGGTCAGTATCAATTCAGACAAAAGAAAGGATATAGTATGATGAATATTTATCACAACAAGATATTTCACTTACTACTGCAATTCTATTTGTATAAGTAACAATACGATCGTCAATAGCTTTTTCACGACTTTTAGAGTAAGCTAATTGAAGTTCATCATCTTTCAGAACTACTGAGGGATTCAGGTACAGTACTTTACTGACCAAAAATATCTGAAATAATCTGGTTTATATTCACTATGATATATTTACATCGAAAGAATCGAACATATCTAAAAGACGGTTTTCGAGTTTTTCTTTTAAGTAGTACGTGAGTGACTGAATTTTCGCTGTTGTAAATTTTGATTCAAACTAGTGGAATGAACATTAAAGAGTTAACTAAAGGAGATCAAACTTTATCTAACAACTTCTCGCTGAATTCATTTATCATTTGTTCCAACTGAGTAATGATCACATTGTACACTAAGAAAACAACACTAAGTAACTAAGAGGGAAGGATTACAGTCATCTGAAAGTTGAAGAGGTGCGAAGCCAAGTAGCTTTGACACATATTCTTGTGCAACATCAACTGGAATAGATGCAGATTGTGCTTCACTTCCTTGCATCACGAACAACCGACCAACACGAATTTATTTATCTAAATAAAATTTACAAACAAGTGATTACGAGAAGTTAGTCTTAACATTATTACACGAAAAGCGAGCAAAAACCAATTAAAATACTCATAATTCGAAAAATTATATACATTGAGTGGTCCTATACATGTCAGATCGATTAGTTTCTCGTTTTTGAGTAATTTATCAGTTCGTGATTTATGTAATATATAATGGGCTATGTACAAAAGGTGACAAATGTTATATATATTTACTCAAACAGAAGTTAAGAAAAGTGAATGCATCAATCAGTCAGTCAGTCAGCAACAACGGAGAACTTCGTACGTACGTACGTGCACCAGTTCAAGATGTCATACCTCATTAGCACAGTGATGCAAGTGTCCATTCAAATCCCATAGTGCTAGAGGTAGCAGAAGCATGAGCAATGATGGGGAAGCTCGTGAAGAGCAGACTCGAGAAAACCAGTCTGGTTTCAGACCTGGACGTGGTTGTATAGACCACACTACGACAGGTCCTGGAACACAGACACACATTTAGACGTCCGACAATAGTTGTATTCTTGGACCTAAAGACGGCGTTTGACTCAGTGGATCGTGAGGTTCTGTGGCAATGTCTGTGATGGAAAGGTGTATCACCGAAGTACATTAACCTTATCCACTCTGTCTACTAGAACACCTCTGGCCTATCCATGTTTGGCCATTATGCATAACTTCGAGCGATGGATTTCATACGGTTTATCCCTGGGTGTCCAGAGTGAAATTGGCGTAGGACCTTGGGACGTAGAGTTGTTGGAATTACTACACGATCACCGAACATCAGACAATCGTTAACAACACATAGAGCACTGTGACGATTCGCTAGATGATTCATATCACCACTTAGCTGCTTAACTGGCCATCGGCTCTGAACATAGGTGATCGGTTCTTGAATAAACGGGTCGTCTCTGGTAGCTTTTTGAACATCTTCAGCGGTAACAGGCATTGCTCGAATGGCATTCGCTAATAGTGTAGCACTGGGATCCTCTTCTGCTAATATTGTAGCTATGACTGTGTCATCATCAGTGGTGGAGTGGCTACTGATAAGTCTGGACAGCGCATCAGCTTGGTCGAAATCTTCGGAACGTCGATATTGGATGTCGAAGTCGTCGAGTGAGAGCTTATGGTGAACTGTCACCTGAATTCTTTACTTCAAGTAGTGTCCTTCAGGGATGTCCACTCTCTCCATTCTTGTTTAATTTTATCATAGACATGCTCTTAGAAATAACCTTATCCTCGTCTGAGTTTCCAGGAATAGACCTATTACCAGGAGGCTCGCTTATCGACTTAGAATATGCCGATGACATAGTTCTACTTGGTGAAGACGCTGACAAAATGAAGTCTTATGATTACCGTGAGCAACAATGAAAGCATGTTCGGGATGCGATTTCCCTCTCCAAATGCAAAATGTTGCATCCGTACAGTAGGACGGAGCGAACTGCTGCACAGTACACTCGTCCTTTGGTTAGCAAACGGATATCTGATGAGACTCCCCAGATAATCGAAGCGGTCAACAGCCTAGAGTATTTTACTCTCTATCGCTAATTCAGGTGCCAACGCAAGCCGATCTTGAAGTAATATTTTGCATTTGAGGGTGGGAACCGCATCCCAAACATGCTTTCATTGTTGCTTATTTTAGTCAGTAGACTCAGCATTTTGTCAGCGTCTTCACCAAGTAGAACTATGTCATCGGCATATTCTAAGTCGATAAGCGAGCCTCCTGGTAATAGGTCTATTCCTGGAAACTCAGACGAGGATAAGGTTATTTCTAAGAGCATGTCTATGATAAAATTAAACAAGAATGGAGAGAGTGGACATCCCTGAAGGACACTACTTGAAGTAATGAATTCAGGTGACAGTTCACCATAAGCTCTCACTCGACGACTTCGACATCCAATATCGACGTTCCGAAGATTTCGACCAAGCTGATGCGCTGTCCAGACTTATCAGTAGCCACTCCACCACTGATGATGACACAGTCATAGCTACAATATTAGCAGAAGAGGATCCCAGTGCTACACTATCAGCGAATCCCATTCGAGCAATGCCTGTTGCCGCTGAAGATGTTCAGAAAGCTACCAAAGACGACAGACGTGTTCAAGAACCGATCACCTATGTTCAGAGCCGATGGCCAGTTAAGCAGCTAAGTGGTGATATGAATCATCTAGCGAATCGTCACAGTGCTCTATGTGTTGTTAACGATTGTCTGATGTTCGGTGACCGTGTAGTAATTCCAACAACTCTACGTCCCAAGGTCCTACGCCAATTTCACTCTGGACACCCAGGGATAAACCGTATGAAATCCATCGCTCGGAGTTATGCATATTGGCCAAACATGGATAGGCCAGTGGTGTTCGAGTAGACAGCTTGTATAAGGTTAATGTACTTCTTTGGTACACCTTTCAATCACAGACATTGCCACAGAACCTCACGATCCACTGAGTCAAACGCCGTCTTTAGGTCCAAGAATACAACTATTGTCGGACGTCTAAATGTGTGTCTGTGTTCCAGGACCTGTCGTAGTGTGGTCTATACAACCACGTCCAGGTCTGAAACCAGACTGGTTTTCTCGAGTCTGCTCTTCACGAGCACTAGTAAGGCGTCTAAGCATAATCGAGACTAACAATTTAGAAACTATATTAGTTAATCGTGGAGAGAAGAGAGGTATGTGTGGGTGTAGGAAGGATTTGATTATGACCAATTCGGTCTCTTGTGCTGTTACGGGTATGAGGGCGGTTGTCACTTTCCGGCTGCCCACACCGTGGAAGGTTGTTACTTGAGGAACCTGAAAAGGAAGGTAGATTAGTGTTGGTCTTACAGACTTAAGAGCGTGACCGCAGAGCCCATGGGACAACTGCTTGAAATCGGTCATGCACAGCCTTTTTACGAAAGGTTTCTTGAGTGTTAGCTCTGCTATTAAAAGCCCTTGTTGGGCGCCCTTACCGCCGGAGAGGGAAATCCGTGAGGTGTGATATTTTTAGTGTCGACCTTTTCTAACCCTTTCTTCCTTGTGAGAAGGCAGCATCGCTGCAGATGCTGGTTGTCCGAGAGGAACACCTTACTGCTGTCACTCCCCTCTGCAGTCAGCAGTACGACTTCGCCCTCAGACCTTAAGTAGCTGTTTTTAATTTCATCGTTCTGCAATCGACCTGACTGGCACGGTAGAACCTTCAGGAACATATGTTCTAGCCAACATAGCTCGGTTGGGTGATCACGATAAGCAAACCCGACCACCACGTCAAGGTAGAAGCTTCGGTCGGGATTCTATAATTGATTTGTCATACTTATCTAAAACCCTACAACTAACCCAAGCATCGCTTACTCGATGGTCCCAGGATATACGAGCAATGCCTCGGAGACACCTATGATCGAATACTACTAACCCACAAATACCCTTGCTTCTTACTGGTTCTGTTTCATATTCGTATAGCAGGAAGTAGTTAACTGCTGTGTAGTAAACTCATCCTTTGGTTAGTAGACGGATTTTTCATCTACACCACAAGTGAAGTTGGCAAAAGCCAGCCGGGACTTCTATGTCCGTGTTGAGATTTCGTCTAATGGTAGACTATCAGAACAGATGAGACGCGGTCGAGACGTTCAACTACTTCACTTCCTTTCACTAGTTCAGGAGCCGACACGAGTTAATCCTGAGATGAGACTTTGTATTTGGAGAGATATTCGCATCGTAAACATGCTAGCAATTTTGCTTGAGGTGGTCAGAAGACCGTTTGTTGGCATCTTCACCAAACAGAACTGTCATCCACATATTTTAAGCTAGCAAGCGGATCCCCAGATAAAAAGTCAACTTCTGAAAATCTAGACAACTAAAATTATAACTCTATAATCATATATACTGAAAGGTGTAATGAAATCGGGGAAAGTAGACAACCCTGACAAACACCACTTGATATGATTAATACCAACGACATTTAGGCCTTAAGCTCTAACTCAACCAGTTTTATTCGAGTAGAGAGCCTGTACAAAGTTAATGTACTCTTTCGATACGTCTTTCAATGACAAGTACTGCCACAAAACCTAACGACCAACAGTCCAAAGCCTCCTTAGGTACAAGGAACAAAACTGTCGTGGTATGTCCAAAACTTGTCTGTTTTAGGACCTACCGCAGTGAATATTTTTTTTCTGCACATCCCATATAAACCTATTCCTGTTGCAGTGATTATTCACTTGTATTCTGATTTTGTTGATTGTTCGCTTATAACCTTGGGTAATTTTTGAATACGTTCAGTGGGCATATAGACAATAATGCGAAGCGTAAAACCAAGCCAGGGGAAACAGACGAAAAAAGTCCATCAACTCAACTGATGGGGCGCGGCAGAAACAAGCTATGAATGTGAAAAGCGAAGTAAATACTGCACATGGAAATAAAAACAGCCGAGGTTATGAGTGAATAATGAACAATATGAATGAATAATGAATAATAATGGATCAAATCACGAATGAATAATTACTTGAAAGTGAATTAGGTGGCTTGTCCAAAAATCCAAAACAGATCATGTGTGCTTGACTTATAAGTACAAACCACATTGTTTAACTTGGGTGAACATAGTGCTTTTAATTTAAAAACTGTATAAAACGAGTGTTTGACTAAGAACGAATACCCAAACTAATTTATGACTAACTATATTGAAGCTACAATACTTTTAAAGACTTACCCAAAGTCTGATGATCGGATGAGGAGGTCAGGTCGAATGTCTTTTTTACTAGCTAGCATAAACGAATCGACTTAACCGAGCCCGCTTTTTATTATTTTGTTACGATCAGAAACCCGCCACAAAGCAGAGAGGTGTAAGTCCGTGCATTTAAAGAATATATTTTTAAAACATTTGGTTTTAATAAGCTTTTATGTCCTACTTACATGTATAAACTGTTACTTTATAAATCAGTATCATGTTTAAATGATAGTGCATTTGAAAGAGAATAACATCAGTGAGGGCCGTAATCAAGTGTCACGTAAATAAGGATATCATGGCTACACAAATCAGTCGTTGATTCAAGTGCTTGAGGCTTAATTATGAGGCTTACTTTGTCTAGAGATGCAATGAAATTCTTTATTGCAAAGGCCGCATCATAGCTTACAATCCAATATCTTTTCACGACCTAGTATAAACCAAACGATTTCTTTGCTATCAGTTCTTCTTTCGGTAAGGTTCCAAGTATTTGGTGGTGTCCAATGGATAAGGGTCCAGCCATTCGACTGCCTGATTCTAATCAGTTGGCAGTTGTTTGTGAGTTTATGTGTCTCGTGATTTGAATGGATACGTTTGTTTCAGGGCAATGGGGTTTCTGGATACCAGCAGCTATTTTAGGATCCAAACTGAGATTTGTACTAAATAATAACTCTCAAGAACGTTTAGGCACGCGTCTTGCCCAGTTGAAATCCAAAACAAGTGATTTGGGTAAATAACGGTCCTAGTATTCATCATAAATGTAAACATACATCATTACCTAAACATATATTAACACTTCGTTATTCCTTCAACAATTGTTCAATTAATGAAATCAATACCAATAAAAAAATGTCATTCTATCCCTCGTGGATAGATCGGATTCATTCGAAAGAGAATAGTTGGTCATTCCAATTCTGGAAGAGTGCTTCAATTTACAATCGAAATGCACAATTCCAGTCAGTGCAACCAAGCCTATCAGAAGAGGAGCAAACCAATATGGCTGTCGCCATGACTAAGTATAAGCTTAGACAACATAATGCAGTTTAGAAAGAAACACAGGAACTCATTAAAGGCAGAAGAAATAGAAACCATAATAAATTACATATATTATCCTCTCAAATGGAATCGGACAGAATAACAAAATGTAGAACTGAAGGAATCAATAAGGACATACTACAAATGTATGCGTGGGGATCTTCATAAACAAAGCTTTCTAAATGGATCTTACAGTTATCACGCTACCAGGCTGGAGATCATTTAGTTGCAGTCTGGAGAATGATAATGAAAACAATTCCAATTCTAATAAGAAGAACATTTCAGAACTAGGTAAATAAATGGATAATTTAGTTTATTATTGGGGGTGAAGATTGTGGGAGAGGACGGAAGTGTAAGCTAAGGAGACGAGACAGAGATAATAATCGAGATAGTGATTTGAGATGGTAATAACAATAACTAGCAGGTCTAAAGACATGTATCGTGCACGAATGGTCCACGAGGGAGATGATTATCCGTATATGAATGTTTATTAAATCTCTCCTTAAAGCTGTCCCTTGAGGGGGCTGTGCTCACCTCGGCTGGGAGGGCATTCCAAGTTGCCACAACTCTTGATGAGGAAAATTGTGCGCGGACCTGAGCTTTCGCTCTCTGATGCGCAATTTTTCGAGGATTGCCTAGAGGGGAGTGGTGGTAATGCATCAGTAACATCCTCATGTTGGGATGGTTTGGCGTGCCTAATATGTTGTATCTCACTATCGGATCACCTCTGATTCTCCTGTAATTCAGGGAGAATAATCCCAAGTACTGGAGTCTACCTTCGTAAGTTTAATTTTCAACCGTATCCTCCAATTGGTTGCTCGTCTCTGCACTCGATCCAAGAAATTGATGTCTTTTAATGTGGGGGTACGACAACGTTGTGAACCTCAAGCTGTGTCTTCAACGGTGTTAAGAATAATTCTGGAGTGATAGCACCAAGTTATCTTCGCATAAAGTGAAGAGTCACATTCGCCTTGGCTGAGTCTCCTATATAGTTGGAGCTGGTGTGGAGTCTTTCTGTGATTATCACGCTCTGAGACATTCGAGAGCGGACTACCACTGAGAGTGTAAATCGTTTGCCTCATGTGGGGCAAAATGTGCATAACGTGACATTTCGTTTGGCTTAATTTCAAGCCGTTTTTCACTACCCATTCCTCTAATGGACCTTTAGATCTTTGCATCGTCTGCGTAGAGCAATGCTGCCATGCTAACTGGGTCTAACAAGTCGTTATTAAATATCAGGAAGAGAAGTGGACATAAGGTGGTCCCCTGTGAAACTCCCGATGTTAAAACTCGCCAAGTCGCGTGCACTCTATTTACCTAGAGGCGAATCTTTCGATTCTCAGGGTATTTTCTAAGCCAAGATATCAATGGGTCAATGAAGCCCATTTCCGCAACCTTCGAAGACGGAGTGCATAGGGTGCTATGCCAAAGGCTTTCACAAAGGGCTTCTGCACAAAATATAGGGTGGATATTGTCACACCTTGGTAAGAACTACGATCGGAATCCTTCAAGGAGACCTTCCACTTGTAGCAGACTCTTCATTTCGCAAGCGTTCACTGTCTCACCTAACCCATGCTCTTCTGTTTCCAGGTGTGAGGGGCGATGGAGGTGCATCATCTTGGAGAGCATTCTGGATGATGTCTCTCACTGTTTACTAGTGATCACCTACTGTTAGTCTCCGCCATTCCCATGACCATGGGGCATGTAGAAGAGTCTCTCTCATGCACGTGTAAATTCGTCCAAGTGTAGTAAATGTAGAGCTCGTTTTCGTCCAGTGTATGTGTTTCGTTTGTGACTATTATCTTTGTGTTTTATGCCGAGGGTTGTTGATTTTGGCCTCTTTGCTGTTGTCTCACAAATCTAGGTCGGCTTTCGCTACACCTAATGTGACTTAATAGTCGTGAGATATGACTACTTGGGCAGCCAAAAATATCCGGTGATAAAGGCTTTCGCAGTATTACAAATGGTGTTTAAGTTAGGAATCTGATAGCAGTAAATTGCTTGTCGTTGGAGCAATAACTCACAGTATGCCATAAGATGAAAATCCACCTTTTATAACAATAGACCCACAGAAATCAAAATAGTTGACCAAGAAATTCAATTCCCACGGAATTTTGCTGTTCCACAAGCTTTTCACAACAAGGAAACTTAATTGGGGTGCGCTGTAATAGTGACAATCTTAGAAAACCTACTCATAACTCCGCTCCGGAGTTAAAAGTACTTATGACAAAGCAACGGATTTTATTTTTTAGTGAGCGAATCCAGATACCAGATTGACTATGCTCACCACTAAATGTTCCATGCGGTCGCGTGACGAAAAGCAGAACAAAATAAATCAATACTCCATGGTTTTATTGAAGGAGAACGTTGGCATTACATAGGGAGCAGCAAATAGAGAAACATGGCGGCAACGCTAAGAGAACGTTGCGCGCAAGAAGTAGTAGAAGTGTTTTTGGTACAGTTAAACAAAGCGAGTACAATAATGTTTACATTTCAAAAATCGCATTTTCTTCGTAGAAGCGTTCCACTACAGCAGCCCCCGCCTAGAAAGGGTTCACACTTTCGATACATAGCGGCTGCGCTCGACGGGGGGGGGGGCTGGTCGGCCAACATTTGGTTGTAATGCGGAAGGGTTGACGAACATGAAGCGACCAATGAGGCTTGAGTTGTCACCGATAGTCTTCTACGTTGAACTGTACCAGTAGTAACGTGCCAGGTTTGCTGCTCAAGTTGACGTGCCAAGTTTGTCTATCGGATTGGCATACCACATCAGCGTGGCTCGTATCCAGAGTCTGATGATTGCGTTCGTAGGGGTCCGGACCAAATAAAGCTGCAGACGTAGGACGGAACCAGATTGGGCGAAAGAGCCAGAAACAACCAGTGCGAAACCATTCGTATACCAGATATATTCGTAGCCAGCAGATCGACTGATTGCATTGACTAGAGCGTGGGTGATCAGGCCAGCTTTCGCCAAGGTTGACTGAATTCGACGGTACCAACAGGACAATGGTCGGAGATATAGGCTCGGGATAAAAAAAGAAGAAAACGGAGAAAAGTGTGGCATGCATGCAGTACGTGTAAAATCTTATGCCGAACCTGTGGTTGATTGTTATTTAGTCAAGAAAGCGTACAAGTAGGCTGTACGCGGCGACCGGCACGCGAGACAGTAGCCTCGTTCGTACCTCGTGATCCCGCATTCTCATCCGCAGTCAAAAGCGACGTGGTCTGCTGATCTGGACGTGAGAACGGGGTCTCATCCGTAGATAGTGCAGATGGCGCGTGCTGCTGACTGGGACTTGAGAATGAGGTGTTCGGTTTATCTAGCGTAGATGCAGAAGAGAAAATAAGGATCCCGCTAGTGAGTTGGACGAGTCCAGCATTAAATCTCGATTTACCAGGTATGGGACTGTCAATGACGTGCGATGGTATGAGACGATCACAGCTGACTGTGTCCATCACCCTTGGAGTTCTTTTTGTGACGATAGATCACGGGAAAAAATCATCAGTAAGGTTGTTGAGTACCGAATCTACTAGTAGGAAAACTTACGGACAGGTAAATAACGCTAGAGGGAGAGCGACCTGTCGATGTCATTATCGAGTTCACAGAGGAGGCAGTATTCGCATGGACACAGATAGTCGTTGGACGTAATCTGATATACATAAAATCCCTGCTCCGTGGTGTGAAGAAATTCCCCAGGCAGATGCAATGTCGTGCCGTATACGAGTTCGAAGGCGGAACATTGGATATCTGCCGTTGCTACTCCGTAAGCGCCATGTCGTCTCCAACAAATGCCATCTTTCTGCGAACCGAGTGGAGAGGAGTCTTAAGGACTGTGAGAAAGACGGAGTAATACA